AATTTTGACAACCACCCAACTGTCTGCTAGCGTTCTCAAGCAAGTCAGCGCAGCCTGGAGGAGTAGCATAGATACATCTGGACCCCACACATTTGAAGGGCTGCCAAATTCTAGCTCCTTTCTTGAACATGCTAACAGTAGGGGCCGCACTGTAAGGAGACCTAAAGAAAAGATCATAGCTTTGACAAGCCAAGATTGCAACAGCGACTCCATCAAGGCCTCGAGTCCCTTTGACCCTAAACCCTCAGCTACGCCCAGTAGATGCCCCACAGGCTTGCTTCAGAGAAAGCCTAAGGGATTCAGTGTGGGCCATCAAACCCTCAAGCCCTCAACCTAAACACTAAATAAACCCTTAACCCAAAATTTGAAACCTGGCCACAGGCAGTAGCAAAGGTAGATCAGGTTGGTGCCGAGGACGCCCACAGCTTCACCCTGCTGCTGCGCGGTGGGCTGGCTCATGCGGATGTGGAGGATCCTGAAAATTCTTGAGGGTTTAGGGGCTTAAGGTTTNNAAGGTTTGGGATTTAGGGGTTGGGGGACTTCAGGAATTCCTTTTTTGGGAGCCCGCTTAAAAAGGACTATAATATGCTGGGATTTACATGGGGGGCTTTCGGGATCTGGGGGATTTCACCGATAATTTTGTGGAATCAAATGGAGAGGTGGAGACCATTTTTGAGATTACACAGGGTATATTAGGATATTCTGGTCCCCAATGATGGAGAATCAAAACGAGAAATGGAACATCAAATGCAGACTGGGATTTTACAGGTACGTCCAAAGATTCGAGTTTCCCCAATTAGGGATCCCATTTTGGGAGCCCCTTTATTCAGGATTGCGATGTACAGGGGGTCTACATGGTGGACTCCCCATTTCTGGAAACTTCCCTCTTGCATGCTGGGGGTAGGGGGTAGGGTGAAGGGCTTGGGGCGTAGGGTTGGGCTTGGGGCATGAGGTTTAGGGTTTAGGGGTTTAGAGTTTGGGGGTTTGGGGTTTAGGGGTTTGGGGTTTAGGAGTTTAGGGTTAAGGGTTAGGGCATAGGTTCCGAGATTTCAGGGACATCCGGCTCGCATTCTCTCTGGTGCGTTTTAGTGGGCACGAATGGGATGGAACGGGGGGTACAGTCATTTCCATTTTCTTTTCCATTACCCCAATATAACTCCTATATACTTAGTAGTTTCCATTTGATTTTCCGTTATCACTATATAACCCCCATATTCCATAGTAGTTTCCATTTGATTTTTCCTTACCCCCATATAGCCCCTACATAACCCCAATATACTGGTTGGAATGGGGTTGCTGGCCCTGCAGCTCTCCTCTACCCATGTCGAAGCGGTCCGGCGTTAGCGCGTAAATTAGCTACGGAGGACACCAAAAAGAAGACTAGGGTTAACTGGTCGCGGATTGGATGAAGGATTCGGGTTCAGGGTTCAGGGCTAAAGGTTTGGAAATTCAGGCTTGCGGTTTAGGGTCTAAAGTCTGGAGTTACACTGGATTTGAACATGATGCTCAGGATTGCTGGGGAATACTCAGGGGAAAGGTCGATCATGCACCTTACGTCCAGTACCAGAGTCATCCAAAAATGCTAGGATCTGCAACGCAAGGACCTGCCAGCATCAGCGCGAATTTAGCACAGCCTGAACATGATTTTCCTGACTTTGGATTTTTCCTGTACCTTACCATGCTTGCGCTTACTATGTTACACATGGCAGTTTCCTCTGCTGCTCCTTGAGTGAGTATTTCACAGTACGTGCCCCAAAAAGCCCAGCCACCCTGCTGTTGCTACAAGGATTAGGAGAGAGGTCTGAGGCCAGCTCACGTTCTTGCGCTAATTACCTACTCCTGGTGATATCCCCCCAATAATGAATGCTTTGCAGATTACATGATGGGACTCTATTGGGTGTATTGCTCATTGAGGGAGTTGCGGGAGTCGATTATTAGTGGGGACGGACCTCAGGACACCAACACTGACAACGGCGGCGACGGCGGCAGGAGCAGCACCAGGGGCAACAAGACGACAGCACAAGAGAAATGAGGAGTTACACAACTAGGGGGTCCCACTATCGACCCCAATACACCATGCTCTTTAATACAGGGACACCTTACAAAGGGCCGTTAACTTGTGGAAAACACTCATCCTCATTGTAGGAAAAGTGTCCCTACATAATCCCTACATAAAACCCATATTTCCCCATATTCATCCCCATATAACCCTACATGACCTAATTTTTCCTACCAACCCCATATAGAAAACTCCCAAAGGCAAAGCATTCCCTGAGCTCCGGACACGGTGCTCGGAGCCGCACCAACTTCAGCTTGATACTTGAGACCCACCCAACCTTTAGGGTTTAGGGTTGAGGATCTTACACTATAGATAGGCACATACTTTAGTTTTTGTTGTTTTATCGGACCTCTTCTTCTGCAGATATAAAGGCTTAGGCTTGAGGGTTTTAATTATGGATAGGCACCTGGGGTGGTTCACAATGGAAGTCTTTATTTAGGAATTGTGTAAGAGCGTTCTTAAAAGAAATGTCCACATTGCAGAACACTAGTGTCACTTGTAATAATAACTATAGGAACATATCAGTTATAACCTTCTTATAACTGAAAATATGACTTGAACCTTTGCTGACCTACCTCTGAAATCCATAGCGTCGAAGGAATGAAGGAGTTCTATGGATGAAACATACAATGCCCAGAAGTGAGTCTGGCATCTGCACAGAGGTTAATGGGAGACCTAAGTTTTGCCAAACCTAAACCCGAAACTCTAGTATGGCCAGGCGCAAGCTACTTAAAGATGATCTTGACATGTACTACTATACTCAAGACGTTGCTCAGTACGTTACGTTTTGAATCCTTCGCAAAGCTATTCCCTCCACATCAACGTTTGCCGAGCCTTCGCATTCGCGGTCAGACATGTATGCCTTCGCTGCCAGCGTGGTGGCGAAAGCAAAGAATCGAGCCTCCTCGCCTGGAGGCTGGAGGCAGGGGAACAGCTCAACAATTAAGAAAGAGAACACAGTAGTCTTGTCAGGGGCTTTTTGGCCTAGAAGTGGATGAACCATAAGGGCTATGATGATGAATACCATTGACTGTATTTCGTTGTGAATCGTATCACGTTCTGATTTGTTTGCCTCGCCTTTGGTGCCACGCAGATTCTTCTCCACCACATCATACTCAGTGTTCAGCATCTGCTCGACTCGCTCGCGTGTGACATAGCGCTTGGCCTGGAGACAGCATTGAGAGCTGGGTGTTTGGACGCAGGTGCCCATTACTTCTGCTCGTCCTCTCCTGTCAGTACCACCACGAAAAACCACCAAGACTGCAAGGGCTGCAACTTCCGTTCAAACGCCACCGCCGCCGCCGTCAGGCCCAACACCACAACCACTTCCAGCATCACCACCAATACCCTGTAATTTCAGGCTTTGGCTGGAGAATTCCTGGACGTATGTCAGTCAGGGCTTCGTTGCTTGGATGTCTCTACTCAGACTTGAATTAGCAGCCCGAATATACAACCCATTTAGGGGACTTAGGGGCGTATCATTGGATTATAAGTACAGTTACGCGCAAATTAAGAGTACCCATGGACCTCCAAAAGTCTTGACTAACAGCGTCTCATCGAAACAGCCATTGCCTTGGACGTTGGAAGCCTTCAAAAACCGCTTCAAACGTGGGCCAAATCCCTGAATCCCAATTCCTAAACCCTTACCCCCCAACCCACAAGCCTTTAAATCCTACACCCTGAGCCATAAACCCTTAACCCTATATCCCCTAAGTCCCCTGATTGGGTAATACTAAACCCTAAACCCCAAATAGTAGTTTCCATTTTCTTTTCCATTATCCCAATATAACCCCAATAACTATATCTACTTAAGGGGCCTAGATCGACAGAACCTGGCCTTGCCATAGTCCAAATCCGACATCTTCATGTCATAGGCAGAAATGGACCTTGCCACCGTGCCCGCGGCTGCGCCCGCTTGCAGAAACGTGCGCGATACCTGCACCGCACTCCCCATGCTAGTGCAAATGGTGCTCTAGAAACAATGGCCCTGTAAGACCCAAAAAATAGTTTCCATGTGATTTCCCATGTCGTAGAAGTTCGTAGAATTAATCTTGAACCCCATATGATCCCTATGTAACCCTAGCTTAACCCGATTTAATCACAAACAATGTAAAAAGCGTCAGTCCCGCTATTACCGCCCAATACAACGCTTTTAGGTCCCACTTTACTTGACCAAAATTCTTAATTTCATGTTCTTGTCTATTGGATTCCCTCTTATTGGCGCAATTTCCATCCACCATAGGAAGATCTGCCCTAAATCCTAAACCTTGAATCTTTGAGTAAAGGGTTCCAAAACCAGGCCTCTTGGCCCGCACCAATCTCCGCAAAGCTGCCGTAAAAGTTGCTATCCTCAGCGGTTTGGGTTTAGAGTTGAGCGTTTTGGGGTTTAGGTTGGGGGTTTAGGGTTTGGGGTTGGGGGTTCAGGGCTTAGGGTTTAAGGTTGAGGGTAGGGCACACTTGGAAGGTCAGGGGAACTTCGTGAGCAGCTTGATGGCGCCTATTAGCCGTAAGTAACCCTACTTATCCCCATCAATAACCTACCTACCAAGTCCCTTTACCCTCCAAGTAGGGGAAGTGGGGAAAACTGAAGATTTGTGGCCTAAGCCGCTGGGGTAATGCATGTATACACTCGCGGTATGCAGGGATATTTAGAAATTAGGAATGAGGATTGGGGACAACAGGTGTAAGGTTTAGGGATTAGGGTTTAAGCTTCAGGGTTTCGGGATTAGGGTTTAAGGTTTCGGAGATAAGTTTGGGAGGTTCTGAGAATGAGGTTATACTTCAGCACCCCAGGGATGTCTAAGAGGTTCACAAGAAGATATACCAGGAGTGTGTTGGGATGATGACCTTCAGAAACTCCCATTTTGTAAGCAACACCGCGGACAAGGGTTGCCGGCGCATCGAAATAAGAAATATTCCACGGTTCCAAGTTCAGGGCTTCGGGTTTGGGACGTAGGATTCAACATCCATTTTCAGTAGCAGACTTTTTTCTGAACAGGGCCCTCCGTGTGGGGTTAGAGGGTTAAAAACAAGCTCGTTCTTCCGAAGCAAGAGCCTCACAACCCTGAAGACCAGCGAATTCCGCAAATTCCAGAAAGCCAAGCATCAAGATTCACCACTAGCGCTTTCTCTGCTGGGCTACCTGGCCATATCATAACAGTCATGCAAGTTAAGCCGAGAAAAACACAGTCGTATTCAAAGCAAGCAGAAGTATGAAAGTCAGAGCTTCCCGTAGCGTTTTGTTGTGCCAGTCTTCATACCAGGCTGGGACCAACAATCCAGAATCCTAAACCCTGAGCTGAGTAGCATGCGTGTGGCACCACAAACATCTCTCAAGCAACAATCATGAAACGCAGACGAAGCGGCAAGCCACTGTCATACCTAGACTGTATACATAGATGACTGCGAATACGATTGTCATGCTTGTGATGGTTTCTTGTCACTGCAGCTGACACCACCTTGACAGCTGTGTTAGGGTTTAGGGTTTAGGGTTAGGGTTTTGGGTTTTGGGGTTTAGGGTTTTGGGTCTAGGGTTTAGGGGTTGAGGGGTTTAGGCTTTTGGGGTTTATGGGTTTAGCGTTCAGGGTTATGGCTTGGTTCTCGACTGCATCATGAACCATGACCAGCGTTCTTACCGTCTGTATCGTTCACATCGCTGTTGTAATGAACCTGCCATCACATGGAATGTTAGACATGGGCAATGGAAGTACAAGTACTCCTCCTGCTCCTACTTCCCCTCCTAGTCACTAGGTCCTACTCGCACAACAGCTAGAACTATTACCTCAAGACCCCCTCCTCATTCGTATGGAGAGTTCATTTTATCAAACATTCAAGCCATTTTCACCACGACCCGCCTTGATACTCCTCTTTTACTACGCCAATCTCTAAACCCTACATGCCCCTGCATATCCCTACAAAAACTCTTCGCCACGCCAATCAACCCTAAAACCCTACTTCACGCCGGCGTTTTTAAACTCATCCCTCCCCTTCATGTTAAATTACAGATCCCCCACGCCGCGAATGTTAAATCTTGCCTATGTATTGTTGAATACCACAATAAGAATATCGATTATCAGGGGTATTTGAAAATGTTCATCTGGGGGGATGAAGATCGAAACATACCCTGATTCCATTTCATGTTCCATTGTCTGTTCTATTTGTGACTCGCCGTTATGGAGGTAATCTCCCAAACCCTAAACCCTGGATAGTAGCTTCCATGTTATTTTCCAGTACCCTTTATATACCCTATATAATCCCTGGGTACATTACTAATAAACCCTTAACCTCTAAACCCCACAACCTTTAAATCACTAAACCCTTAAACCCCTAAACCCCTCAACCCTAAGCCAGAAACCCTACACCCTTAAACACTTAAATACCCTAAGCCCTAAACCCTATATACCCATTGTAGTAGTTTCCATTTTCCTTTCCAGTATCCCTATATTATACAACTGTGTATACCCTAGAATCCCTATATAACCCCTATACATACCCTATAATCCTTGTAGTTTCCATTTTCTTTTCCATAATCCCCTTTTTTACCCCAAGATACAACCCTAACCAACAATTCCTGGGGATGAAAGATGCCAAACCCTAAATACCCTAAACCCTATATAGCCCATTATAGTAGTGTCCATTTTCTTTTCAATTATCCCCATATGACCCACAACCCATGCGGATGAATCAAGCTCACGACCGTCCCATTCACCACGGCCTCCAAGATGGACGAGTTTCTGCAGCTGCGCCGCCTTGCCTGGATTGCTGGTAAGACGCTTAACTTGAAGGGATTAGGGTTTAGGGTTTGGGGTTTCAGATTTTAGGAATAGGGTGTAGGGCTGTGGGCTTGAGGGCTTAGGGTTTAGGATTTGGTGTTTAGAATGCAAGGTTTAAATCTTTGCGCTTGTAGGAAACTATGCTACCACATAGATTTGTTCAAAGTGAGTCCACCTAAGTGAAGTTACCATCGAAATGAAACTGCATAACTTACAACATACCCTTACTATGGTAACTTATCAAAAATTCTGGACAGCAACCCAGCTGCTCCCCGCACATCGTACCAGACTGCTGGTTCTGCTTCGGAACGCCTGCGAAAGCTTTGAAGATTTGGGGCCTCTGGTTCCAAGCTGTTGGATTGAAGGCTCAAGTTTCAAGGTTCAGGGTCAAGGGCCTAAAGTTTAAAGATTAAAGTTTGCTGTCCAGATCTTAAAGTTAGCGTTTGTTTGGGTTCGGGTGTTGGGGTTCAAGGCTTCCGGTATCGGGTCAAAACAAAAATAATAAGCTGAAAAATATCTTCATGCAAGAGCTGTTCATTAACCATGGCCATTTCAATTCTCTCACAGCACGACCCCACCCCTCAGGAGCACCATAAACCCGAACACAAAACCAACAGTACACCAATACAAAACATGAGAAGACTCTGGGCCACCCTGAGGCTCCCCATTCGCAGAAAATACGATGATCCTGATGCAACACCTCCAGCTCAAAACCGTGGAAGTGCCAACTTCAAAACGTGCAACCCTGAATGGACATGCGCATACACGTCCCCCCATCAGTAAAATTCTCAATTTTGGCAAGCTTACACCCACAAGACTAGTGCAGTCTTCACAATATGGAGGCAACAGCGTATAATACGATCCAATTCCAGCTTTTGAACAAGCTCACATAGAGCAGTGACAGTACTTTGCAAAAATGATCTTTGGAATCACCTGCCGTTTTTGGCGGCGGAGAGCACCAGCGCCGAGCGCAGTGAAGGCCAAAGGGCAAAAGGCGCTGCCGGCCTGCAAAGCTTTTGATACCGGCTATCATGGCTGTGTCAAACACCTGAAATTCAAGATATGAGGATGGGGGTGTACGGTTGGCTGAATGAATCATTCTAGGTGTATGGGTGAAAAATTACATTGGAAAACCGCTGGTTTTTGAAGGGCTTGGAAGCAAGGGCAAAATGATAAGCACCTTATAACAGTGACGCCTTTGGTTGTGTTATATTGTTGTGGGTGGGCTGCGGTAGTGGGTGACCTTGCCAACATGTGTCGACATAACCACATGTTTGATATCATCCTAAAGCAGCAAGCTCATTGAAAGTGTGCTCTGGTCCGATTTTCACATACCGAGCTGCGAGCTTGTCAAAATCTAAACAAACACTGCAACAACAAATCAAAATGAAAAACCGGAAACGCCTGCAACCCAAAGGATGCCAACCCTGCGCAATACTTCAAAGCCGCCTGGAGGTTAGGATGGTTTGCCCGGTCTGAACGCGCCGAGCGGGCAGGTGGCGCTTGGGCCGGAGCCCCCAATGATGCCTGCAATTTTCGGGCGAACAAGCCAAACATCGGAAACATGGAAATGACAAGCAAAAGTCTGGACCTGCTACACTTGGAAATCAGATTGGAAATCTGTAATTGCTACAACCGCCATCACACACATAGAGTTGTAGATGGTGAGGTGAGCGCCGCAATGCGCGTGCAATTTTGCAAAAAGTTCTTGACCTTGAGTTGCGAAGACATGTTTCCGCTCCGCTGGACGTTGCTCAATGTCGCTGGTTTGGAAAAAAATTCTTGAACTTGCACAATGAGGCTTGAAAAATCTGGGAAATACAAAGCTCTATCACATGTGTCAAACCACGTTACGACAACCTGGATTGCATGTTCAAATACAAGCAGCACACAACAACCAAAACACAAGTTTGTGCAGCATATGCACATCCTGAAACATGCCTTGCCTGGACGAATGCCAACGCCATGACCCCGTGCTAGTACAACTTGAGCCAACAGACATGATTGTTATTGGCTCCCGAACATGCACTGCGAAAGAATTGCGACAACACCCCAGCGACATGTCGGTCACAGGTCACCGTGTCGTGCAAATGAACTGCCACAACTTCGATGCCTGGATAGAAACTACGAGTTGGTCACGTCAGAAATGTCTCTGGGTCAACATGGGGATTTTCTGGTTAACGGGTCTTCATTACTCTTTTGCCAAAATCTCACCTAAATGTGGTCCAACATGTTCCATGACATGTGTTCCCAATACCGGCAGCAAGGAAAGATGGTGGATCAAGTTGCCAAACAATTGTGATGCGATCGCACGAAAGTTTTGACTCTGGAAAAAACGACTGCGGAGAGCGTGCTTCACAAATGACATGTCAAGAAGGCAGCATGCAAATAAGTCACCAAAACATCACATGAAATTGGGACATGAAAAATGGTGAAATCATGAACGCCCCGCCTTCACATGCTCTATGCGCTAGGCATGGGCGGCATGGGCGTTTGCATTAGCATGTTCACCATGTCTCGGAATGGAATGTGAAGCCACAACAGCTTTTTCACTAGCACAAAACTCCAATGACCATG